ATGAATGTGGGGGTCTTGCTGAGTTTGATTCTGGCACATCTGTTAATTACTCTTTTAGTAATTTCTCCTTTAAGGTAATAGTCTCATATTTTCTATTTCTTTATAATTTCGCTAAGCAATTAGAATTAACTTCAATGAAATATGCATGATCTATTTATTGCCTTTGTTTTCCTGACACCTAGACTTGGATTTAATATGTTAAATTGGAAAATTAGTTTTTCTGCAAGCATACTATACTATTCATAAATAACCTAATTTTTTTTTATCTGCCTGTGTAACGTGTTCTGTTGATAGTTGGTTTGATAGTTTTTTGTAAGATTTTCTTCTTGGGCTTATGCTAATATGTTATACTTTCCAATTCATGCCTAAATATTCTCTTATTTTGCTTGGTTAATGTTTCTTTTGGATTTTCAGAATCTCTCCCAGCTTGCATCAATCAACTATGATCTCACCAAGGGATGGAAAGATGACCCGCCAACGAATTCCAGTGCATAGCTGTATGTATTATCCTCAGTCAAAGTCCAGAATTTGGTTTTCGACCTATCATCCAAGCAATTTTGGGGGCATAAGCACCTTTGTTGGTTGTATACCTTGTACATGTATGATTCTGCAGCATAACTTGTTGATTTGTCGCGTCTTTTGTTTGTTTTCTTGCTCACCTAGTTTGTATTGCTGGATTTTGCAGATTTAGAGGTTCAAAGTGGTTCAGGATGTACTCTTTGCTTAAGGGCAACAGTGGGGGTTTCAATCTTACGGTTTATTGTGTATGAATTGAGAACTGTAAATTTAAAAATGCATATCACAGTTGCTCACATTGTTGTGGTGTACTCTCTATAATTAAATTGCAATGAGAACACATCCCTTTTTGTTACTTACACAATTCAGATACTGCTCTTAAGTCTTTTCTGAATGCCCTCCGAGCATTTCCAGATTTCATTTTTATTTTAATTTAAAAGTGACGTCATTGACTTGTTCTCGTGGGTTCCATTGGTTTTATTAACTTAGCTAATGAAACATCGCATTCAACCCCACTGTCTTCCTGATGTAAACCATTTGATTTCACGAGTTAGTGCTAGAATATCCATGTTATTACGGCAATATAAGGAGAGAATATAAAGCAACTTTTGTAAATTGTCCAATGTCTATTTTATTAGCCTTATAAGCATGTCTTAATTTTATTTTTTTTATTTTTAGTTTTTCAAATCAGTCGAACATCAAAGAGTTGAGTCGAATCCGATTATTTACATTATATTAATGACTATTTTCTCAAATATCAAAGTTCAGAATGTAAAGGAAAAGGTAGGCAGAAGTTATTCTTTCTCCCTTTTATTTTGGATTTGTGAAGAGTTTAATCATATATTGGAGATATTAATGTGACTAAAGCTTGAAAAAATAGGTTGACATATTAATGTGGCTAATTACATTTGTTTTTCGTGTATAGAAAACTGCACTTGTTTATCATGGTTTGGTATTTATAAGAATACCTGTAGTTTTTGTATATAAGAGAAGAAAAAATGTGTAATTTTATAAAAATGACGTGTTAAGTGTTAATTATAAGAATGATATATAAAATAATAAATAAATGTATTTTTTTAATAAAAGAAATAGGATATATAAGTATAATGCGCATTAACCACAGGTTACCTGTTCAATAAGAAATGGTCCCAATTCACAGGACTAAATATTAAGTACACATCGAAAAAAAAAACCGTCCTTTATAGAAGGGTGATTTGCCATACAGATTCTACCCTTGTGAATATTTCTTCCAAGGACATAAGAAACATGTCTTCAAAGGATAAGAGCAGCACTACTTTGGACTTCGGAGCACACCTTCCCAAAAGCAATTCATCTGCGGTTTGACTTGCCAAGAATGGGTTTGCCACTGAAGATAAGATAATTCTTTATGATGCTATGGGTATGGGTATGGGTGTGAAGTACATTCAATTCTAATTTGTGTTTTCTTTTATGCTGTTTTTTTTCCTCTAAAACACAAAAGTAGGAAATTGGAGTTCTTATTATGAAAGGCAATATAACACTTACATATTTTGCTCAACACGTAGTCATTTTTTTCTCTCTCCTTATGTATGTTTTGTGAGCTTTTATATTAAATCAAGTAAATGTTCATGACGGACGTAGCCACAGTGTTACACTTACTCGCAACTTTTTATTTATTTATTTATTTATTTTTTATTATTATTACTAGTAAAATATATTTTATCAATTAAATTAAACTTCTCTTATATAATTTTTTTTCCATCTGTCTATTTTATATATATATGTTCTTATATTTGGAAATATTCCTACAATATATGAAATACTTGTTAGTTTATTAAATTCACAGGCCAATTTACCACTTAAATACTTAAAAAGTAGATCTAATGTTAAACATCTGTGTATTTACTTTCACAAGTTGAGATCTTGAGTAGAAAATATGTTGCAACTATTTTCGGTGAGGAATGAGGTTGGCGCCAAATGTAATCGTGCAATGTCAATTTGTCATTAGGATGTGTTACTATAACTGCCAGTGCCACCAATTTTGAAAGAAGATTTCACAGAGTAAGACAACAATAGCCAGAGGCAAGAGAATCCCATGTAGTAAAATGTTGGGATGTCAATCTTTGCTTCTCCCTATGCCTAAGAAATACAAATAAAGATTATATATATATTAAAATTCATTTAAAAGATCAATATCTCTTAACAAATATTTTTTCAAATAAAATCTTTAAAATTGAATTCTTAATCATATTCTTAAGAAATAACCACTTTTCTCGTCAGTGTATTATTCATTTGTTTTCAACCTTAGTATGGAGTGCCTCAAAATATTAACAAAATTAAAATACGAAGAGTGTGTTAATCACTAGATGCTAACAAAATATGATCATGAACCACAATGAAGTAGCAGTAGGAAGGAGTAGGACCACAATGTCAGGAACGGTCACTTTAAACTGCACTGCCTTCCACTATGTGTGTGTACTCTATTTTGGTCCACCATAAAGTTACAATTATAATCACATCCACTAATACATAAACTTTGTCATATGAAATTTTTTCAGTTAGGCTTGTACTCACCTGAAAGAAATTGTTTCCAGTGCCAGCCACTGTCAGGGTTTCATGTTTAAAGTTTAAAATCTGCATTATGGATGAGAAAGCAGTTGCTTAACTCTTGCTAAATCACAATATCAAAATGCTTTTTAATTAACCAAAGTTTACAACAGTAGACTATTATTGAAAATCATGTTCGATTAAATGTTGAATAATCCTTAAAAGTAGGGGTTAATGCTTACGGTTCAAAGCTTAACCCTTCGTTTTTTATATAATTGAATCAGCTCTAAATCTTAATGCATCATATCACATCATATCAAACTTTTTACACATGGCCGCACCTGTTTGAACTTAGCATCATATTCATCATGTCTCTTTTTGACAACTTATCCATTAGCGCCTTCAACCTCAAATTTTGCTAAAATGTGTTTTTGTTAATATTCTTTTTGATGTATGAGTACTAAATCTCATGCTCAGGACAAGAATCTCAATCCTAAAAATTCATTTGCTAGTTTAGTTAAAGAGTAACTAATGGTATACACTAATGTATTTACCAATGATTTAAAAACCGGACCCGACCAGTTGGACCGGGAACCGGTGGTCCAGCCGGTCCGAATCTTAAGTTGGATCAGTTATGCAGTCGACCCGTTTCAAACCGGATTGAACCGGTCAATTTTTTGGTTCAACCGGTGAACCGGTGGGTCAAACCGGTTCAACCATTTTTTTTTCTTTTTTTTTATAATTTTTTTTAAGGGACCATAAACCACAAAAAATAATAATAAAAATTGAATCTCTTAATGGAAAAGCAAGGAGTCTTATTAAATATAACAGTGACTACTTGTTCTAATATATTTGTTTGCAATATATACAACTTAAATAACTTTTATAGTATATTATTAATTTTAAATTATATATTTAATAATACAATATCTATGTAAATATTACATATATTATTTTGTAATATTAATTGCAAGCATATTATATATGTACATATTATTTATATTTTTAATTTGTGTTAATATACCGTTTAACATGTAATTTTTTATGTATTTTTTTACAAAATAAAAATAAAAATAATTTTAAATAAGATAGAAAAATTAAAATTTAAAATAAGATATGAATTTATTAAAATTTATAAATATAAAATATATTTAATATGAATATTTTTTTAATATAAATAAATAAAAACCGAGTCATGCAGTTCAACTAATGACCCACCGGTTCAACTTTTGACCCACTGACTCAGTACTTTAACCGACCAGTCTGATTTTTTAAACAATGGTATTTACTAATGGGAAACCACCTCCACATCCAAATCTTAATCAAAGTCGTTTCTGGGTAAAAATCATCCTTATTGTCTTTACCAAGGTGGGGTTCACAGCAATTGAGACATGCTACATGCCACCTATAGGACATTACAACCAACCATGAAAGCGACTATTTCATCATAACAGTATCTACAGAAAAAAAAAAAGTGTCACCAAAAGCAAAAAGCCAATGTTAAAAGCAATGGTAATAATTACATCAACCAGAATCCACGAATTTTTTACTAAAATAAATTTTTTTTAAAAAAATTTACCAAAAAACAGAATTCGGTTCTTTTCGAACTGTTAATTTTTTTTTTTTCGTTCTAGATCCCAAAATACACACATGACAAATGAATCAAAACGGACTATTCTGCTTGAACGTTCCAGTTTCAAAAATAACATACTAAGCGTGCAAGCAGAATGGCCCATTCTACTTGGAGAACGGGCCGTTCCAGTTGCAACATTCATACACCCCCGAGCTACAACCAGAAAAAAAAAAAATTTTAAACATTACTCAGAATTCGGTTTCTCGGGAACTAAATTCTGAGTGTGAACAGTAAAAGGTAAAAAAAATTGGAACAGGTGTTATTTTGGTAAAAATTTTTTTAAAAAAATTTTATTTCAGTAAAAAATTCCAGAATCCACCGGCAATAACTAATGGAACAGATATCCACTCCCTCAAGGCATTCACAGGGAAAAGAAAAAGGGAACTAGTACAATTGAGTTTGGAGGAAAATTGAAGAAAATAATGGCCCAAGCTTAAGAGAAAAAAAATACAACATAAGCACAGGATTTGGGAAGCAAAATATGGGGCTCTAGACAGAGCCAAGAATTTACTTGTATACGAGAAATTATTACATAGTTGAAGATCATGTGGTCCTGAATCTCCTGATCAATCTCTACGCGACACATTATTAATTCTCTTTTCTTAGATTAGAATATGTGATTTCGTATTAAGAAGAGATTAATCAGGATCAGAACCAGAACCATGTAATAATTTCTCCTTGTACACGAACTCATCTAGAGGATGCATGATATATATCATTGATCGAATCAAGTTGTTGGATTTGGTCTTGAGCATCTTCTTTCATGCCAGAAGAACCACGTAACTCTTCTATGCGTTGTCTCACTTGAGACATTGAAGGGCGATTATCAGGGTATGGAACTGCACAATCCACCGCTAGTTGCAACAACTGAACCATCTCCTCTTCAGAATTGTGATACCTAAGTAGCTCAATGTCAAACACCTCAGAACTCCACTCTTCTCTAACCACTGATTGCACCCATCTTGGAAGGTCCACTCCTTCCTCATTCAAGAGGGCATGTGTAGGAGCCTTTCCAGTCAGAAGTTCCAAAAGCAACACTCCAAAGCTGTATACATCAGCCTTCTGAGACACTCTGCGTGGATCGGTTACTTCTGGAGCGCGGTAGCCGGCGACCCGGTTGGGTGTGGATGAGGGGCCAACAAGGTGTGCTAGGCCAAAATCAGACACCCTGGCATCGTAGGACTTGGTTAGGAGGATGTTGGAGGACTTTATGTTTCCATGAGAAACACTTGGCCCTTGTGAATGTAGGTACTCTATGCCGCGAGCAGCTCCCAGAGCAATGCCTGATCTCATTTCCCAATTCAATGGTATCCTACCAGCTCCTTTGTTTCCTGCGATGACAAAGAATTATAACAAAAACAAACTTCATTTTATGATCATTGTTCAAGCCATTGTATGAGAGATGCCATAGTCTATTTCATGTTAACACAATTACAACAAAGAGGTCAATGAAGGGGTTTAAAAACTAATGTTAAGTTGCATATAAACTTCTTTGTAAATACTTATAGAAGAAGGAAAAATGAATTTAGCTTCTCTCATCAATTAAATGTGTGTTTGTTTCATCGTATCAGATCCACCTTACTTCTCAGTTTCACATCAAAAAACAGGGAAAAGACGCAGAAGCAAGCCTGAGTTGCTTCTGCTGATCCATGTTAATTCGAAGGTGAGCGACGTGTTACCAAACATGTGCTAAAATCAACTTGTGCAGCTTGGCTTTTGGAGAAGTTAGATTTGGGAACTTCAATAAAAGTTAAGTGCATAAGTACTCAAGGAGAATATTATCCAAACAGAGCTAAAGTCACAAACTCAGATGCAAAATGAAAGTAGTGAAACTGTAAATGGAGATGCAATGCCAGACAAATTATGATTCCTAGAGGACAGTATACTCTCTTGCTTCTTATGGTTTCAAATTTTCAATTGCAATGTAATCAACAATCATTCTATAGTTTAAAAACAAAAAGTCATCCCAAAATCAGTAAGGAAAATTTGAAGTCATAATCACAAAAATTTACAGACATGCAAAATGATATTATCCGAACCAAAGTGAGGCTGAACTGACCATGCAAAATTGCAGATAAGCTTCCCATTGGCAGGTAATCATGAACAAGAAGCTTCTCCTCCCTGCTATAATAGTAAGCCCTGAGAGGCACCAAATTCTCATGATCCATCACTCCCACCACATCAATCTTCTCCTTGAACTCCTTCTCAGAAACCGTCACATCCTTCAACCTCTTCACAGCCACCACAGGCCCATCCTCCAAAACAGCCTTATAAGTTGTCCCAAACGTCCCTTTCCCCAACACCTCAGCAGAAGCCCTAAGCAAATCCTCCAAATCAAACACCTTCACTGAATTACCAAAAAACACCAACTTCTTATCTCCACCACCACCGCCACCACCACTCACTGCTGCGGCTGCAACTGCGGCCGCAGCCACCGAATTCCCACCACCACCACTACCACTACTCTCCACATTGCCCCCCTCAACTCCCACCTCCCCATGCTGCTCCTCCTCCTGCTTGAACCCCACCATGGTATTAGCATTATCATCACTCCTAGTCTTGTTCCCACTTCTACACAAGAGAATCAAAGCAAACACAACCAACAAAAGAACCACCACACTCCCAACAACAATCCCAGCAATTGCACCCCCAGAAAGCTTCCCCTTCTTCTTCCTTTCTCCATCAATCACATTCCCTCCAACCCCACTTGGATTTGAAGTCCCATTTGCACCATTCTCACCACCACCATCATCCCAAGGACAAATCCCAAGGGGCTTCCCACAAAGGGCATTCCCCAAAAACGAGTCTTCACCAAAAGCTTGCAACTTTTTAGGAACGGAACCGTTTAACATGTTGTAAGAGACATTAAACTGAGCCAGCTCGTTGAGTTCTTCCAAACCGGGTAGCGAACCGGTGAACCGGTTGTTCTCAAGGAAAAGGGTCCTCAGCTGGGTCAGGTTCCCGAACCGGGCCGGAACCGAACCGGAGAAGCTGTTTGAGGCCAAGTTGAGGCGGACAAGGGTGGTCATGGTGGAGAGGAACGGCGGGACCTCGCCGGAGAAGTTGTTCCGCTGGAGGAACAGGTTGCGAAGGGCGGAGCAGGCGGCGAGGTCGGCGGGGAGGGTGCCGGAGAGGAGGTTGACGCGGAGGCTGAGGGTGCGGAGGCGGGGGAGCGCCGGGAAGACGCCGGAGGGGAGGTGGCCGGAGAGGGCGACGGCGGGGAGGTGGAGGCCGACGACGGTGGCGTTGGCGGCGTCGCAGTAGACGCCGGGCCAGGCGCAGGGTGACGGCGAGGTGGCATTCCAGAGGAGGGTGCGGCCGCGCAGGGCGGCGCGGAGGGTGAGGAGCCCGGCGCGCTCCGACGAGAGGTCGGAGAAGGCTGGAGGTAAGACGAAGGCGATGAGAATGATGAATAAGAGTTGCATTGTGTTGTCTGTGAGAGACACTAAACTAAGTAACTAGTGTTTGGTTTTTGTGTTGTGTGTTCTGAGACACAGAACGATAGAAGTAAGTTGTGATGAAGTGAAGTGATTAGTGAAGTGTCTGTGAAGAGAGAGAGTTGTTCGGAAGAAGAAGAAGAAAATACATTAGAAGTAAGTTGTGATGAAGTGAAGTTATTAGTGAAGTGTCTGTGAAGAGAGAGAGTTGTTCGGAAGAAGAAGAAAATACATTCTGGATGGGTTTAGTTTAGCAACGTATCAGAAACCCATATTAAAAATAAATAATTCCGGATGATATTATTTTTATGTTTAAAGTGTTTAAATGTCCCTTCAACTTAAAATAACTAGACACTTTTTCATTAAACTGTTTTGAAAGTTGTGAAACTTGTAAACTGAACACACTTAGTGTCAACATTAAGTATTAACTTACTAATAATTTAGTTTCAAGTAAATATTCAATGTCACATTAATTATATTTTTTGACAAATTAAATTATTTAATATAAAGTATTAAATAATTTATGAAACATATTAGTAAAATATTGAATAATTATATATTAAACAATTTCACTTGTAAATAAATAAATAAATAGTGTCATGTTAGTTGCTTATATGATATAAATTATCCAATTTAACAAAATTTGGTTAACTGAAATTGCAACCTCATCATATATGTTAAAAATAGATGATAAGTACTTAAACTTGTTAGTACAAATAGTTTAATACTTATGTTTTCTAATAAGGGATCAATGTTTAATTTTTGAATCTATCTCTTCTAAAGTAAGGGAATTATACTTTAGAGAATAAAATACAATAATAATTATGGATTAAAAAATTTACAATTGATTTATAATTAATTTTAGATTTTATTTTGTAAGAATTTGATTTTTTTACAAATTTTAATAGCTGATTTTATAATAAAAAATCATGAGTGCACTTTATCCTCTAAAGTATACTCTCTCACTTTAGAAGAATCAAATCCTTTATTCTTACTTAGATCATGATGTCACAATTAAATATATTACTTTATCCTTAAAATGAGTCAATTCAGTGAAAAGAGTAATACATTCTTTTTATACCAAAAAATTAAGATAAAGTTAGATCATGGGTCAATGGTAAGACTAAAATTGTTCATTTTTCAAATATGTTTACAAAAATTACATTTGTTTAATTTTAATTCATAGTTTCAATTACACAAATTGAATCATTCAATTTTCACAATTATGTAATTTTGGCTACTATTCATTTATTTTGCTAAATATTTATCAAATTATGCCAATGTGCTAATGAATGATTGTCATGATATATATGTTGAAGGACTTAATTGCTATTTTGGTCTTTCTCAATAGTAATACTATGACACTAAAATTTTAATTAAATTTCATTAATATGTGGTAGGCAAACACATTAGTTGTCATGTCATCCCCTTGTATCACCTTAACAAAAATTTGTTAAATATTTAATGAAATATTAATGGATGAATCAAAATGTCATATTTAGAAGATCAATTTCACACATTTGAACTAGAGAAACCAAAATTATACGATTATAATAGTTGAAAAACTAGAAGTACAATTATGTCCAAAATTATTTTATTAAAAACATTATAACCTAATCTTTAAAAATCCTTATAGATCTTGCAAGAAAAATCTTTTATAAACAAGGTGTATTAAATAGACAGTCTCATGTTAACTTTTAATTGAGATAATCCATGTTCTTACAAGAAAATGTTACTTAACTACTCATTTTGCATCATAATTTTTTATGTTTAAGATTTTTACGCACTTTTTAAGAAATATTTAATACAAGTATGTTAAGCTTAAAATACTTTTATTTAATATATTAGAATATGTAGAGTAAGAGAAATTGTGGAGTAAAAAAAGTAATCATCAAATTGGAGTATATGTAAAAAAATAATTAATATCACTTGGAATAAAAAAATTTAAAACAAAAGAAATTGAACATTGTAATGAATGATTCAATAGTGATAATTTTTGTAATAATTATTTTAAAAATTATATTAATTTTAAATAGTTTAGCATACAAATATTTATACTAATAATGTATTAAAATTAAAATTTTAAAATATCTAATAAATATAATTATAATTAAATGATAATATATAAATAAATAAATAAATAAATGTGTAAGAGTGTGAGATATATTATTGTAAATAGAAAAAGGCTGGGTATTGGATAACCAACATTTTGTTTTAATTTTTATTCGATCTTTTCTACACAGATTTTCTCTCTCTCTCTCTCGGTTGAGTCATGGAGACACGCTGCCAAAAATAAATCCTATCTGTATGTATCTCTACAGTAAATTGAGTGCTGAGCTGTTTTTTTGTTTTTTCTGTCTCTTGTTTTATTGTTACCATTTGTCATTTTCATTGTTTAATATTTTTCTTTTTCTTTTTATTCAGATAAGTTCCATCTCTTGTTATAACTTTTCACTTAAACTAATAAATATCATGAGATGTATTTTATTAGAGAAAAAAGCCCCTTTTTATAATTGTTTAAAATAATATAAATTCCGGTTATTTACATAAGGCATTTTCTACGAGGATTTATAATTTACGATCGACTTATATATAATCTATCTAAGGAAGCTGTTGTTATTAACACCCATTCACACAAGTAATAGAATTTGTCTCTTTTAATTAAATTATTCAAGATTTAACTTTTTTATTAATAGGAAGTAAATTATATTAAATGAAAAATACTCATTTCATATTAATATTATGATTACTGGAAAAATAAAATATCTTTGTAAATAAATATGACTTTTAATATTAAAACATTATATTTTATTTTGTGAAGGAAGACAAGTGCACGTTGATTTGCAAAATAATGATGTCATGGCAACGGGAAACAACTACTGTACTGGAATCCCATGTTGCACGTGTGTGTATATTATTAGATGGTAAAATTAGTTGATGAATAAATTTAAAATTTTTAAGTTAACATTAACCCTTAAGTTTATACTAAGTTAAAAATTTGTACTTGTTAGTTGAAATGTTACAAACTAATTTATTAGACTATGAGTGTAGAATACAATTAGTAAGTTAAGTAGTTGATAAATATAAAATGATATATTTACATAATTATTTGTCTAATTTTTATGTTTTTGTTTGTTTGCTAGGAATAATCATAAAAGAAACCAATAAATAAATAAAACGAAATCTTAAGAATCAAATATGAAAAGAAAAAAGAAAGTTTTGGAACCTAGTGGGAATGGAATGAAAATACTCTAACGTGGAGAAATAACGAGAAAAAATATTAGCAAATAAGAAAAAAATATAGTCACAATTAAACAAAAAACATATAAAAAAAAGTGATATACACATTAAACAATTCAGAAAACAAATTATTAACATATATATTTTATTTTTCTTTATCTAAACATTTATTATATTTCAAATTTTCTCTCTTTTCTTTTATTATTTTTCTTAATTATATATAACATTTGTTGTTATATAAAATATCATTACTTTTATTAAAATTTGCGTTGATGTTTGTAAAAGTTATAGCTATGCCGATGTATTAATTGTGTACCGTCGTGATCCTTGATATCACCAATTAAGACTGTTGGACACCATACTTTATAAATTATTTTTCATCAAAAGACGAACTAAGTCAATATAAATGTTGGTTGTGACTTATGAGTCCCACGTAACGTTATAATTCTTTCTTCCCCATATTTTTTGTAAGTTGGTGAAAATTTTAACTAGCACACACGTTAATTGTAAACTTTAGAGATCCATCATACACACACAAGCACATAGTTGGTGGGGGGAGATTTTAAACCTAACAAATAATTGATAAGTTATTACGAAAAGATAGATGTATAGGACCATCCAACAAGAGTAACTACCATCTCACAATATATTAATAACTTCAAGTTTGGGGTTAGACTTCAAGCTTAAATACAAAGTAAATGAACAATAAGAATGGGAAAAAGGAAAACAATCTAATCTATAAACACTACATTAGTCCATATAAAAGGTAAAACTTGTTAAAATGAAAAATCAATATAACATAATGAAAAGTTTAGATGACTAATAAGTCATAAATTCAAGTGGTATAAGACTATTTTTTATATAAGATTTTTGTTCAAGTATTGTAGATAAAAAAATATGACTAAAAGAAAAAGATTTTACAAAAAATGATTAGTTAAATTAATAAAAATTAGATAAATATTTGATATAATAACATGCATAAACAAAAAATTGTGCGTGTGATTTTTGTGGTCACTTTCTTGAGTGTTTGATATAGCACGTTAGCTAAACATTAGTGTCTACAACCATATCACACACATGCAATATCTATGAACACAAAACCTAGCTGTTTTCAAGAGCATCTAGTTGGAAAGCTAGTCAATTAGGTTGCTTTTCTACGTACACTTTAGACAGAGAAAGATCATAGCTTTCCATTTGGTTACCCATGTGGTGACCAATGCAATTCATCTAGACCTACTTTTCCAACTGCAAAAACTAGAGTTTCAAAGAAGAAAAATTTTCGATACATTATTTGTATATATAGTCAAGGAGGCCAACAACATTTTCTATGTTTCTTGTGCTATATAAAGAAATAAATACAAGTTTCTTGTATCAGCTAGAAAACCCTTTAGATAGGTGGTTGATCATAAGAAAGCATTAATTAGTGTCTTCTTAATCACTCAAAGGTTTATGGCTATTTGTAGGGTTTTGATATAATAATTGAATTTGGTGGATGTTAGTAGGATATGTGGATTGTGAAAGAAGTAAACACACACTTGCACTGTTATAGCTTACTCTTACGGGGAAGGATGTGATTTAGTAAAAAACAAAGTGTTGCCATATTGGGGTTGTTAGCATGCATATATATTGTGAAACTCATGAAAGCATGAAATTGCAGTTACTTGACATTGATAAAACGACATTTTTAATATACTTTGCTTCAATTTTATTTTTGACTTCTTCATTAGCAAGCAAATGTTTTTGTTGCCCTATTTTTGGGACACGATTAAATAAGTTTTTAAACTAAACATCCTGCTCACCAAATTGTTTGATCTAGAAATGATTTCAATCTAGAGCTACTGAAGTTTTAATTTAATCCTTTACCTGTTTGTTTGTTTGTTTGTTTTTTTTTTTTCAAAATAAAAAAGATTGTAATAATAACAATGGAAATCATACCAAAGTTTTTATGTATCTATTTTAACCCTCTACTACCAGACTGATTTTAATGATTCACAATTAATTATTTATTATTTTTTATTGTAAGTGAAAAATATTTGATGACCGACTATATATTAAATTAATTTGCAATTAATGGGATTTGTCTTATATTTTTATATTGTTTATACTTGAGAAAGAAACAGAGACAGAGAGAGAGGCTTTTTTTTCTCTCTCTAGATATTACCCACTTAAAAGCTACAGATAATTAGGTAGATATATTTAAAAGGTTTAAACCACTTAAACAAAACAAATGTTGACAATTAGGATTAAATTTCTTAGAAATTTAGATATCTGAATCTAACCTCATCTGGTTTAATAATTATATTTACATTTTAATATAATTTTCTAACGAACGATGATGTATCCTGTGGAGATTTTTTTTAATAAAAAAATTGGCAACTGGTTGAATTGAACATCATAAATAAGCAAGCGTGTGGTTCAGCGGTAGGAGTTGATCCACGCTTAAGCAAAGTTAGGGGTTCGAAACCTGCTTTGTGTATGCAGCCGCGTTAAATCTTGGGCCAGCTATCTCACCCTTTGAGGTACCTCCAACGTAGCGGTAAATACTCCAGGGACGAACAAAAAAAAAAAAAATAGCTACTTCTTCATGTAATTTTTTTAATTAAAAACGGTAACATCGTTATTGAGTAAATCTGTCCATTAGTAATAAAATAATGTGTAGGGGATTTTTTAATAGCAGTTTTTACGAGTCTTACAAAATGCTAAAATTTTAAAGACTATTTTGATCGAAAAATTGACAAAGAGAGTAGTTCACGATGTTATGAATATATTAATAAAATACAAATAAAAGTAAATTGAAAGATAATAAGAATTAGATTGAAAGTATTTTTGATATCTCTTTAATTATTTGTACAATTTTAAATAATTTGAACTCATACAACTTGACTTTAACAATATAAAAAATGTCAACTAAATTTATTTTCGACACAATCAAATCTATATTTTAGTTTTATTGAGAAAAGGAAACTATCTGTTTTGGGGTGGTTGAATTATTAAAGCGATTTGAATTTTTTGTCGTTTTAATTATTAAAGCGATTCTAATTTCAACTAGAACTGAAATGAGACGATTGGAATCCTACGGCCAAATAATATTACATTGGATTGATAAGATAAAAAAATGGTTGAAGAAAGTCCAAATGCAGAATTTTCCATCTCAGTTGAGATTAGACAAAATGCTTAAAGGCCTTAACCTTACTTTTTGGTTCAAACGCTACAATTTGTCATTTCTTGCAATCATTAGGAACTTTCACAATTACCAATTTTTTTATAGCAAAAGTGGTGGCGGTGGTGTAAGGTAGGTCCCTTCATTTATTTCCCCCTCCTTTGTCGTTTATAAATGAGAGGCTTTCTCCCATATTTAAGGAAAAAAAATTGATACCCCAAATACTATTAGATGCTTAGGAGGGAAGAGGAAGAGAAAGATAGATGATAAGTGCTAATAAGGTGTTAAAAAAATGAAATGTCAAAAGTTATTGCTCGATTTATAAACCACAAAGTAGGGGAGAAAAAAAAAACTAATACATACTTTACACCACCCCGCTTTTGCTATTAAAAAAATTGGGAATTCTGAAAGTTCCTAATGATTGCAAGAAATGACAAGTTATAGCTTTTGAACTAAAGATTAAGGTTATGGGCTTTAAACTGAGGTGGAAAATTTCCTGTCATTATTTAAGCATTTTTCTGCTTTGATGAGTTCTTCATGTTAGAGCTAGTGGTTCCATTTGTTTACCTTAATTAACAAGTCATTTATTAATAGATTTTTAAGACTCGTGTGTGCATTGGTCAATAAATTCTTCCAGGTTATTCAATTATTGATGCTACATTGTTAAATGCGTGCGTGAATAGGTTCAGATGCAGATTATATTTCAAGGAAAGTGAAGCATAGGACATGGCCAAACCATTACAGAATAAAGAGTTGTGTACCACACATTGTAGACCAAAGGGCCAAGGCCAACACATATTTGCCAGATTGTAAAGAAACCTGGATTAGGTCTGAGTTATTAGGGCAACCCTGGTCGCTGTCTGAAAAATATTATTATACTTTATTTCAGATTTTATTTTAGTATTGACCCAATCGCATCTTTGAAACAATTCCTCGTGTTTGAATTCATGATTGATTTTTCAAAGTCATGTAAATAATATCAGTTGATGCAATTTTACATAAATTAACACACTTGACTTCGTGCTGAGAAATTGATTTAGTCCACAGTTGATCGAGTTAAAACAATTTTACACAACTTTACAGTTGATAAAATTATATATTAAATTTTACTTACTTTTAGAATAAGAACATACAAATATAAACCAACCACATCAAAATCAACTTTATAAACACTAACCACTCTTAGTTTTCCATTAGCATAATTCCCAAGAAACTGCCTGAATTTTAATTGATACTTTAATAAAGCTAAAAACAGAGCAAACCATATTTACCAATGAGAACTGTGTCACTTGTCATCGTCATTTAATGTGGGAATTATAAACTTTATTATTTTCGTCATACATGTCTTAATTAACCAAACAAATTCAGTTCAAATAAAAATATGTTGGTAATGGGAACAAACATTAGATTAAACATGATAACAAACTACCACATCCAAATACAATTAAGAACAATGCTAAACAACCACATGAGGTATGATCCTTTCTCCTCACTTTCTTTAGCAAAATTGCTGTTGTAAGTGATTCACACAGCATTCCAGCTTGAAGGGAAATTTTCAATGTAACTATACTGCTTAAAATAGAAGAAAGGAGAACGATTTAGCATAAGCCGCCAAAGATTGTTACAATTTAAGCCTCAACATAATGGGAGTAAACAGCTGAATTCAATAAGCGTGCCCTAGTTACTACATGGTGGGGGAAGAGCAAATAAGGTGAGTTCAAATCACTGATCTTAGCTCGGACAGAATGTTTTAGGGGTGCTTTGTATAACAATGGTTTGGGGTGTTTAGTGTAGTGGACTCATTCTTACTCTACGCAATTTTGGTCTCTTGAAGTTTGAAAAATAAGCTGAAACTATTTTTTTTACCCACTTCCACCAATACATCTTTCTACCAAGTTCCAAGGCCTGAAAAATCAAAAACCTTTCCACCCCACTCCACCTCCTATTTTCTACTTTCTAACCAAGCATGCCCTTAATTTTTTTTCAGTGTTCTATTAGAGAAGAACTCGGATCTTTTCTGAAGTATTGAGTACTTAGACTTTGCTATAGAGATGAAAATCCAAGTTATAATGAAAACAACAAAAAATGATTCAGGGACAGAAGGACTTTGGTGGCGAGAACTCCGAAATAATGCTGACATGTCCATACTAATTGAAGCAAATCTTTCTTCCGACTGTCCTCCCCTGCGCATCAAGAAATTGTTAAGAATCTTGTCTATAGTATTCATGAAGGAATTCTTCTTGGATGTTGGAAGATTAGTTTCGTCCAGAGTTTTGAGAATCTTCATTTTATCTAATTCTGAATGATGGTATAGAATTCTTACTCGGTTTAATACAAATTACAAAGCCCAATTCTAAACATTCGTGTGAAATTATTTATGATTGATTATATTTCATCAGAATTATCACATAGCACAACTGAAGATATACCTCAAGAAGTTCTTGATTGATCCCCAAAGACAAAGAGAGCCAACATTTTTTATTCCCTTGCTTGAAGCATCACCTTTTGAATGCTTCTTTATGAATTCATTGAGTTTTTCTTTAGGTATCCCTGGAAAGCAGAGTCACAAAAAAATCCTTAATAATTTTGTGTTCATGTAAGTTCAGCATAATTTTAACCTATTATACTTTAATTTCAAAGTATCTGAGTAAAAGCAACTATTACCAATGCCATTGGAAGACGGTGAATCCCCTTTGCAAGATGCTCTCAATGAAGCTAACTGCTCAACAAGTACACGTTCTGTGCCACTAGAACACGCGGGATTTGAGAAGGATAAAAAGAAATCACAATAGTAAGAAACTAAATACATACATACATATATATATATATATATATAGAGAGAGAGAGAGAGAGGGTAACAAAAGTATTCATTTATGAGAATCATCATGTGTATTGTAGACAATAAACTGTGTAGTAATACGTTCTCAAGACACTACATCTACTTTGCCACGCAAAGAAATTCAGATAACTCGTGAAGGATGGTGAATGATTACTACAAAGTGCAAACTCAATCTATTTGTAACTGCTGGAACCTGGGATTATAGACAAGGAATAATATGTTCTTCAATAGCAACGTTAAATGAAGTCCATAGAAAGGGCAATAAAGGCTCTGGCCTTTCATTATAAGTAAATAAAATATTTACTAAAAATTGCTGCTCTTGGTGATCGACAATCAAAGTATAAAAACTCAACTTCTAGTACAAGCAAAACTCTAAACAAGACAATTAATGATGAACTTCTTCTTTAGGGATATAAGAAAAGATAGTAAGAAAAATACAGACCTGATATCCTTGGGAATAAGAACATTCACAATGAAGTAATGATCGCCCCGAACGTATGGTTTATTCATGTCTGGAACCCCCAAACGTGACAACTTCACTGAATCTCCAGGTTGAATCCCTGAAGGAATTTGAAGATCCCGTAAACCTTCAACAGTTTCTACCTGAAGTCACCTCAGTTTAATGTTAAAGCAGCCTTCAATGACATAAAAGCTACAGGACATTCCTTAATGTTATGAATGATTTAAGTACTGAACAATGCTTGAAAAGGCATGCAGAATGATTAAAGTTGTATATGTGCTCTGCCTTTAAGCACATAAAAAAACGAATCAATTGATATTATAATATGGAACAGTTCCTACCTGAACTCAACTAAGTTTAAAGTTAAAAATAAAAAACTTCAAAGTCAAGGGGCACAGGATATTCCTTGGTGTGAAATGGGTGTGCTAGAATGTTGCCTTAATTGTGGTCATCTCTAGCCTACCTTAATTGTAGCCTCTTTGGGGGCTACATTAATTGTACCCTTCAAGGAGTGTGTTTAGTCCCACATCAACATGAGATGTGATTTAAATAGGTTTACAAAGCTTAGACAATTTTCACTTTCCATGTCAATTTTGTGTAGTTATGGTCGAAACCCAAATTATGAGAAAAGCAATATCAAACCAAAAAACTAAAGATCTAAAAGGGTATCTACTCACAACCCACTGATGGTAAAACCCTACCCAAATCCTAATCAAATATCAGATCCTTAAAGTAGGGGAAGATCTCTTAAAATTAAGAATAAATCCCTAAATAACACAATTAACATAAAATCTTTAAGAATGAGGAAAGATTCCAAAAATGATAAAATACCTAAATAACATTATTATCTAAACCAATGTGATACTCCACTTTGCACCAACAGTGTTTCTGTTGGTGCTGTTTTTAATCGACAAGGGGTCAGGGGTTAACTGATATTACCTTTTTAACTGAACCCAATATTGCATCCGTGAAGTCAATGCTAATCTTTGAGTACAAATGAAGGCCCTCTCTCCAAATTCCTTGTTTCTCATCTATATGCAGGACAACAAAAAGATCCCCAGTAATTTGCCTGAAATAAAATATGCCAAATTAACAGCACTTAAATGAGATGAATGCATAGTTGTTCTAACCATCCAAGTTGCAAATCAATAGTCCTATGGAAACAAGATCCAATTTTATTTTTAAGTTCTCTTGTGTGTAAAAATCAAGTGATATCATTTTCTATTATTACACATGATAAACCAGAATAGTTTTGTGGTAGTCTGTCATCAATAAATAAGGACAAAACTTAATTTAGTAGTTTTGTGGTAGTCTTGTGTACCTAAGTTTTGTCCCAATAAATAATCACGGTAGTAAGCACAGCTTCTTAATTTAATAGTAAACTGATAATTAAGAATAAAGGGATGAAATGGGGGCAGTCCTCAAATTGGTTGTACTGTTGTAGGAAATCTTTGGGTCATTCAGTGATGGCTTCATGGAAAATTAGATGGTGAGTTTGCCGAAAACTGTGAATGTGGTCAGAATATTTACTCATTTAATATAGGAAAGTTGACCATCCAGATGTAGAAGTAATTTCATATTTACTTATTTAATGAACAATAATGAGAAGAAGCAGTGAAGAAGCTCTATTTTGCAGTCTTTATTACAACTACTTTCCTTTTATAAAACTGACAAACCCAACTAGAATTCAACCCACAGTTCACAGTTTAATCAAGTCGAAATATTGTTAGAAGCAAAAATATTCATTAGATTCCTGCTAACCTCTTTTTATCAAAATTCCCTTGTCCTCGAATTTGCATTGTGTCTCCATCACTGACTCCAGGAGGAATTTCCACTTCCATTGTTTGTTTAGATTGAATCTGACCACTGCCATCACATCTTTGACAGTGCTCAGTTATTATTTTGCCAAGGCCACCACACTTGGAGCAGGTAGAAACCTGAATATCACATGATACAAAATATCATCTTGTCATAATGTCTCAGGTAATTTAAAAACCATTGGAACCAGGTCACTCAATCATTAAATCTATTTAATTTAAATTACCTGAGACATCATTCCAAAGGGTGTTCTCTGACTTTTCATTTCTCCCCCTCTGCCACCACAATTTGTGCATTGTTTAATGCATTTCTTTGATTTAGCTCCTGTACCATCACATGTATTGCATGTCTGAAAACCGGAAACTTCAATCTCCCTCTGTGCTCCAAATATTGATTCTTCAAAGCTCAAATGAAGGTCATATCTGCATCGCAGGAAGAAATAAAATTAAAGCCAAATTTTACAGACATATTTGTTGGAACCAAAGGAAGATCATATTTGTTGGGATTTACAGACAGTGACATGCATAATATCTTCATGAAGCATAGAGAAACTATAGCTATCTTCTTTCTTCTGATTGATTTATACTTAAAGCATAACAAGTAAGGACTCTGATATTTTTCTGAGTATTCATCTAAACAAATTATGAGTATGTCCTAAATTCCACTAGACTAAACATCCTGGGTCTTTCACTAACAATTTGTTACTTATAGATGGTTATGATAATCTCTATTTAAGAAATCGAATTGTGCATAAACAAATAAAAGAAACATTCTGATGGTTGTTTTTTGTTCCTTTCTTCTATGAAGGAGGTCACCACCTTAAATGAGAGAGGAGGTCATATGAAGGAGGGTTTCCAAGTTTCGCCAAAAACTTGTGAATGATGGTTTTCAAGTTTCACCAGAAAATTTGTGAGGAAGGGGTTTCCAAGTTTCACCCATAAAACTTGTGAGGAAGGAGTTTTCAAGTTTAACCCACAAAACTTGAAGGGAGGATTTTCAAGATATATGTAACACATTTTGAAATAAATAATGAACATCCTTATGGACGTAGACATGAGAGGCTTAATCCACTATTCCAACATGGTATCTAGAGCTTAGGTCTATTCTTTTAGATTTTTTTTTCTCTTCTTGCAGGGGCATTCACCGGCTGCCCACCACCGCCGGCCGACCACCGCCACCGGCCGAACGCCGCCACCCGCCGCACCACCCCGCACCGCGAC